GTTCATCCTGCCCACTGGGAGCACAGAGCCAGTGTGTCTCATTTGTTCAGAGACCGTGGCGCTCATTAAAAGTGTCAAAACGCCACTATGAGACAAAACACAAAGTGTTTGACCAAACATTCCCTCTCAAGTCAGAACTGAGGTCACACCAGGATCAAAATTAAAACTAAATATCGTTCCAGGTCAGGCTAACCGAGGCTAACCAATGAGCACCTGCATGTGTGTATGAGAATGGCCCTGACACCATTTCTGCCCAGATTTAAACTCCTGGCAGGACAAGCTCAAGCTCAATTCTCGCACTGAATTAAAGAAAAGTGAGTGAGGGACTGCAATATAAGAGGGAAAGAAAGAGAAACTTTAAAAACTGTTCAATTGTTATGATGTGTAAAGACTGATATTGTTCTATAATCGGCTGAAACTGTTATGTCATGATGTGAAACGGTTAACAAAGAAAAAGGGAAACTCAAGCTGCTGCTACACTTTATTTTATTTATCTAAAATTAAGCACTTTTAAGATGCACATATTTTCAAAAGCTATTTTATTTATTTTCTCCTATTTTATTTTTAAATGCAGCCCGAGAGGAACATTACACCTATCCACAGTATTTACTGTATATCTGTATAGTTCAATGTTAATTGACAATAAATATTGTTGTTTTTGAATTGTACTTTCTTTATTTGATTGGCAGTCAGTTGTTGATTACATGCAGACGTTGATAAAGCTACAGGCTACTTCAATATATATCACACTAATTCATAAAGCAACTTAGACATTTTGATGTTCCGGACCTTTGCATGGGGAGATTTTCTTTAACTGGACCTCGTTGAATTTGAGTTGAATACCCCTGCTCTAGACCGACAATTTTTTGGAGCTGGAAGTGAACCGCATTCCGGAGCTAAGAGGCGGCGCCGCTGCGGTGTGAACAGGAAAAACCGGTACTTTTCAGGTTCCAGCTCCGAGCCGGAGCTGAAAACGCGTTGGTGTGAAAGGGGCATTTGAGAAGCACTGAGTCACTAATCTTGACACATTTATTTTAGTCATCGATTTTAGTTTGAAGTAAAAACATTGAAACTGAATCTTTATTATGATCTTCAACACAAAACTACTCAGACAGTAACATCAGCTCCTGCTGACATATTGCAGTAGAAGGGAGAATCGTATTGGCAGATATTTCATCATTTAAATTTAAAGCCACTGGACTGTGGAGTATCTGAGATGTGCAAGCAGAAACCCTTTTGACAGGTGTGTCAGGTTGTTTCCATTTCCATTCCATTTCCGTAGTGTGGCGGTGTGGTGCGGCTCGTGTAAAATGCTCGGTTGCTGACAACGCCTCCTGGGGGAGTTTCGCCCCCAGGAAATTACTAAAACTAAAGTTATCCAATTTAATAAAAGGCAATCAGGTTCGTTTGAACACCACAGGCAGAGACAGTGTAAAGGATATTACCACAATGGTTATTTTATTTATACATATCACATTTCTAATAATAAACAATATCATTTTCTAAAAAGGTCTCCAGGGAGGAGGGAGAAGGACAGGGCTGGGGCTTACCAAGGCGGCAATTAACAAAAAGGGGAGGAAGGGTCCAAACCAAAATCTCCCGTGACACTGCACACCAAACAAAACGGACACGTGAAGAACACCACCACCAGGGGTTGGGTTTGCCGCCTCGGGCCCACAGCACCTGTCCGGCACAAGAGAAACACAGTTAAAAGTCAGCAAGAGTATTACAATCTGTTGGAGAAAGATAAACAAAAGGAAAACAACTAAAATAAACCAAATCTAAATAAATGTAAACAACAAGAATGAGTAAACTAATTAAACCAAATCCAAACGTTAACAAAAGAAAAGAAACAAAATCACACAATTGATGAAATACACTCAAAACATTAAAGGTGGGGTAGGTAATTTTGGAGAAACCAGCTCGAGTGCGCTAGAATTTGAAAATACACAACCGGAAAGAGGCGTAGCTCCTCTCTGACATCAGCTTATGGTAGACCCTCCAGAAAAACGCGGGCTAAAATCCTTGATTATGCGGGCTAAAATCCTTGATTATGCGATTAAACATGCGGGGTTTTTATGCGAAATATGCGGAGAAGTTGCGAAATATGCGGAAATATGCGAAATATGCGAAAAGTTGCGAAATATGCGGGAGGCGGAAAAAAGGTGATTCTTCTCCCACACCCTGTTACTAGGCTACTACTGAATGAAAGGAAGCCCTTTTAAAGAGTTCCTATGATACACACACACACACACACACACACACACACACACACACACACACACACACCTCCGCCTCATTCTGTTTTCATTTACCCGTTCGTTATCTGACCAGCTTCAATCTTGTATGTTCCAACACACAGTTGCACGGGGTACAGAATAGTTTCCCCCCACTTTCGTGCAAGACATCTGCGTACTGCTTTGCCCGGTCTTTAGCAGAAATGTTCGTAGGCAAATGGGATGGATTCGATTTGTTCATCTTGGTCAGAGCCGTATAATAGTATAATTATAATAGTATATAATAATAATAGTATAATAGTAGGCTATATAATAATCTATATGGCGCTGATCTTGTTGCTTTTCTCTCTCGTGTGAGTTCCACACATTCACTCTACGGTGTTGTTTACCTGCGCGAGCTGATGACATCACTACTTCACGTTAACTTTTTTTTTCCTCAATTTTGTGTGGAAAAATGCGGGGATTATGCGACCTTTTAAGAAATATGCGGCCTTTTAAAAATATGCGCTATTTTGCTGATTATGCGGTAAATTATGCGATCGCATAATCGCGTTTTTCTGGAGGGTCTATTATGGTCTTCAGTATGGAGTGCAGGGTCACATGTTAGCAAAGACTAATGTTAATATTACTTTATCCAAAATGTTTCTAAGCATTACCTGACCATAGCACATAGACAAATCTGAAAAACAAAGTAAATAAAAATGAATTCTGGTATGTACTGGGGCTTGGTCCCCAAGCGGAGGACCCGGGACCCCTCTGTCTCCCTCTTTCATAGCTTTCACTCAAATAAAAGGCACTGGTTGCCAAAAAAAAAGAATTCCATGTAACACTAAAAGGAATAAAGGGAAGATAAAGTAAGCTAGCTTATCAGGTACACCGATCAGCCATAACATTATGACCTCCTGCCTATTATTGTATGAGACCCCCTTTTGCAGCCAAAACAGCCCTGACTCGTCGGGGCATGGAATCCACTAGACCTCTGAAGGTGTGCTGTGGTGTCTGGCACCAAGATGTTAGCAGCAGATCCTTTAAGTCCTGAAAGTTGCGAGGTGGGGCCTCATTGGATCTGACTTGTTTATCCAGAACATCCCACAGATGCTTGACTAGATTGAGATCTGGGGAATTTAAAGGCCAAGTCAACACCTTGAACTCGTTGTGTTCCTTAAACCATTCCTGATCCACTTCTGCAGTGTGGCAGGACGCATTATCCTGCTGAAAGAGGCCACTGTCATTAGGGGATACCGTCTACATGAAGGGGTGTACTTGGTCTTCAACAATATTTAGGTGGTACGAGTCAGATTAACATCCCCATGAAAGGCAGGACCCAAGGTTTCCCAGCAGAATATTGCCCAGAGCATCACACTGCCTCTGCCAGCTTGCCTTCTTCCCATAATGCATCCTGGTGCCATGTCTTCCCCAGGTAAGCCACGCACACGCACCCAGCCCTCCACATGATGTAAAAGAAAAAGTCACACCATCACACCTTCTTCCATTGCTCCGCGGTCCAGTTCTGATGCTCATGTACCCATTGTAGGTGCTTTGGGTGGTGGACAGGGGTCAGCATGGGCCCCCTGACCGGTCTGCAGCTACACAGCCCCATACACAACAAACTGCACTGTGTGTTCCGACACCTTTCTATCAGAACCAGCATTAACTGTTTCAGCAATTTGAGCAACAGTAGGTCTTCTGTTGGATCCTTGGACCTCTTTTGGTAGGTACTGACCACTGCAGACGGGAACACCCCACAAGAGCTGCCGTTTTGGAGAAACTGACCCCGTCGTCTAGCCATCACAATTTGGCCCACGTCGAAGTCCATCACATCCTCACGCGTGCCAATTTTTCCTGCTTCCAACACATCAGCTTTGAGGACAAAGTTTTCCTTTTCTGCCTTTCTGTGAAGAATTTTCTTCACTTCCCCTATCAGTGGTCATATTCTTATGGCTGATCGGTGTATTAACAGATTTTATCTAATTAAATAGCTTGACTTTTCGATTTATTTATTTTTAACTACCACTGCACGTTGATTCACACCATTTGAAATATTATATCCAGGATTGGAAATTCAAATTAGAAACCAGCCACTGACAGATACATATTCAAATTCACCAGCCACTCAATAGTAGATTATTTTTGTGTCTGAAATCAATCCTTTCCCTGGTGGCTGGTGCTCGTTTACACTCATGTAAATAATAGTTTGTCTTTATTTCGTGGTAACGTTGTAAGGTTACTTATCTTTATGTTACCGAGACAACACTGTCTAAGTAAAACTTACTTCTAACAAACACACATTAGAAAGGTCTGCACAAGTAATTTAAAAGTAAAGTCACTCTAGTTAGAAAACTCCTCATTTAGGTAAACTGTCATTGCCTGTGGCTCTGCAGTCCCTCGTATGTGTGTGTGTGATTGCAGGAGCCAGCCTGCAGGAGTGCACAGTCCACTCTCCTCTGCTCTAAAGCTCCGGTCCTGACTCCTCCACTTTACCAGGTGGTAGACTCTGTAACCGCGGGTCAGTCGTTTATCTACCCATCAATCCTGCCGGTAGTTCTTTAACTAACCTGCTCTCTCCTGCCTGCTGTTCCAGCTGCCTCCAGACATCTGCCATGTTGCCTCCTGTCCATGCGCCTGTAAAACCAAACACCCAGAATGCACTTTGCTCTGCATCATCATCGCTATGTATCGTGCGTTTCATCATTTTCACCCTGTTTAACATGATGTTAATAATAGATACATATAGAAGGAAACATTAGAGAAACAAAACACATAACTCATCAAAGAAAGATTTTATATTGAAATGATAGGATTATGTGCAGTTACACATGATAACATTGGTTCATCAAAAATGCTGGTAGTCTGGTGAAGGATAGTTCCTGATCCGTGTTGAATCAGGCGGTGCAGCAGACCCCCCTGTGCTGTAAGGACACACTTCAGTGCTTTTTAAGGCGTTTCACAGCGAGGGAAGTCCAGGCGAATGGTGCTCTCAGTCCATTCAGCAGGTGGTGTTAGCCTCCATACTTCTCCTTCAGCTGATCCACCAGGCTCACATACTCGCTCATGGCATCCTCTTTTCTCTTACCTGATAGTTAATGAAACATAAAAAAACATTGAGAAACACATTTAGATAAATTAGAGAAGAAATGGGCACCGTTTCTACTCTAGACAGTGTCAGGGTTTGATAGCGAATTAAGGCATCTGGCTGTGAGGGATTGCAGATTAAGTGGGACTAAATAACTTTATTATTTGTATTCTGAATACACAAATTGCTTTAAAAAGTATTTCTGCTTTACCATTCAACACAGTGAATGGATGTTGAGAGTGAAGACGATGTGAGGATATATTATAGATATAAATTATTATATGCTAGCCTTTGTTGTGAGAGGTAGAGAGAGCGAGAGGAGCATAACGCTAAAGCAAAAACTTCTAAAAACACAACATGTACTCGATGTTCACGATAAAGTCATTTAGAGCAAGCCACAATACATGGAGTATACTGGATATATTGGCAGCCATAAATAAAAGGATACACGGTTACTGCAGGGAGAATAGTTTAAGCAGGATATACTGTATATAACAACTGTTATAAGTTATTTTAATAACACTTTTTCATATGTAAAACGTCAAGATTGTAAAAATGGTGTGATTACAAATGATTTTAACACTCCTGTACAGGCACCATGGTAACAGGAAGTGTCTCTGGTGAAGTCAAGTATCTGATGAGAGTTGGCCAACATGCAGCACACTGCTGTGTAATTAATAACACACCGCTGTGTTAAACGCACACACAGCTGTAGCCTCAGCTCAGACTGAGATACAAGTTCAATCTGGAGAAGAAGACAAACAAACATCCACGTACAATACACTCACTCTATGTAAAGAATTTGCCTAAAATATAACTGAGTTGTGACCAGTGGTGGGAGTAGCGCGCTACAAAGTAAAGCGTTACAGTAATCAGATTACATTTGTATGGAGCAAAATCTGGGCCAAAAGTTTTGATCTTTTGAAAAAATTAAATAAAAGATCCTGAACTTTGAAAAATACAATGATGAATTCAAACTAGAAATAAAGTATTTTAAAAGTTTTTTCAGGTTGAATATTATTTTGATTCAGCTCTCAAGCAATTATTTTGATTAAATAGTTTTTTTTCACATTTCACTTTTATTTATATTTATACATTTGAGTAATTGATTTTTTTTTTTATTCAGATTTTATGCTTTCAGATTTCTTTTTCCGTTTCCAATCGTATTTTTTGCCTTCAGACTTAAGGCTGCTTTGTAGTAGTGGGGAACATCCATGCTTAAAGTGTGGTTGCTGAACTGCACAAACTGGCAAAGTTTATTGCTCCTATATATATTGTTGCCAATACGATAAAAACAGCTCCCTAAATAGAACCTTGTCACTGGCATCAGTGTCGATCTACTGCCAATCACGGGAGTATTGTGTTTAGCAATATTTCTTGGGAAACCTACATTTCCTGAAGGAAACATGACTACAGAAGGCCTGTCACTCATGATTCCAAGCCCCTCTCAGCTAAGCCCCCGCCCCCCACGCACTTCAGGGCCGAAAACCCTGAAGGCAAAAAAAAGACCTGAAAGCGGGAAAAAAAGATCCGAACAAATAAATCTGAAAGCATAAAATCTGAATATAAATAAAAGTGAAATGTGAAGAAAAAAAAATGTAATCCAAAAAGTTGCTCAACTGAATAAAAATAATATTCTACCTGAAAAAACGTTTCAAATACTTATTTTAGTTTGAATTCATCATTGTATTTTTCAAAGTTCAAAAGGATCAAAACTTGTACTTTCAAATACATTTTATTGTTTCGAATGATCTAAACTTTTGGCCCAGATTTAGCTCCATACATTGGTATGTAAATTGATAACAGCAGTAACATAACATTTAAGTGGCACAAAATTATCTCCTTACTGGCGTTACTTTAAGTTTAAGGTCTTCAACTATCTGCATAATGGGTTAAGAGTTGCACAGCAGAGATATACAGGCTTGTCGCAGCGTACATCGTGGAGGACATGTTGCAGGCAACGGGGGAGCGGCCGCCATCAGACAGGAGAACTTTTCAAGCTACCTGGAACCGTGTTCTGATGGAAACTGAGCTAAAGGAAACATGGTGTTCAAACAAAGAGCAGAAACAGAGGTCTGTGTGCAGGATTGTACTTTAAGGATTGGTCTGAGCTGATCTGGGATCAATGAGGTTTAACTTTATATTGTCATTTGTCATTTATGCTGAGTAATCCAAAAGTAATGTAACTAGTACTGAAACTAATTACTTTTAGCAGTGATTAATTTAGTAAAGTGAGGCATTACTTTAAAAAAAGTAACTAGTAATATGTAATGCATTACTTTGTATATTAAAGGTGGGGTAGGTAAGCTTGAGAAACCGGCTCGAGATACACTTTTTGTTATATTCCATGGAATGCTCTTAACATCCCGATAGCAATGAATATCTGAAGTGCTTTGACAAAAAATCCATAAAAAAATGTCATCTGTGGAAGCCGTAGTACTGTAAAAAGCACGACCAATCATTTTAGCCTGCCCGGCTAAAATAATTGGATGGCCTACCTGCCTGTCAGCCTTCCATCTGTGCACAAACTTATCTCGTGCCCTCATTGGTCATGTGCGCGTTCGTGTGTGTTGGAGGAGGGGCTCTATAAGGAAGTGGCAGATTTTTTCCGGTTGTGTATTTTCAAATTCTAGCGCACTCGAGCTGGTTTCTCCAAAATTACCTACCCTACCTTTAAGACATGATTGACAAAGCCCAATTTTACAGAGGGATACACACTTGTAAGAATGGCAGCATGTGGCCTGAACACGTACCTTTCTGCTTCTCCCAGGCATCCCATTTAGCTTTACCAGTGAAATCAAACATCCCTGGACGACCTTCAAAGGGAAGACAGACAAAAAATATGTAATTAAAGAGGTTAAAGTCCACATCGAATTGTACTAGAGTTGTAATGCATATACGGTCAAACTGGAAACTGGAGCCAAGATGCTGGCTAACAAGGCAGCCTTTAAACCAGTGTTCCCAAAGCTGGTGCTAATACTTACCAACCACAGTGCAGCAGCCTGTAGTTTAAGTTTTTCATCACTGGATTACCAGAATATGTTATGCAGCTATACCATAAAATATATAGTAATGGAAATATGAAACAATATCAGGATAGAAGACGTCCTCACCTGTGTTCACATCCCCGACTGAGGCCTGCTTGAACAGGGAGTAGACCTGCAGCATCTCTTCATCAGCTGGCTTCACCTTCAGCTGCTTCACCGCCTCTGCTGCTGCTTCAAACTGAGCCTACAGGGAGAGGACGCTTGTGAGTTAATTGCTTCAGGGTGCCATGATATTGACAGGGGCAAACAGCTGCTAATATCTGTGCAAAACCATAGCTGGGCAGCTATATAATAAGTTTCAATCATATCCTGTATATATGTCACTACTTATTTGCATAGCCTTTATATATACTGAAGCTTGAAGAGCTTAACAATAAAATATCTAAAGCCATGGATGTATAATAGACTGGTGCAGTGACGCGTCCTGAAACCCGGAAGTAAGCTGCAGTAATCATAAATCTATCGATTAGATTTATGATTCGAAAAATTATAAAAGTAGGGTCGGCATGTGGATATTATCCGGCTGAACAAAACGTGCATTTATCTAACAGGTTCGTTTTCCACAGACCTTATTTCGAGCTATTTTCCAAAATCCTATGGAGAAATCCCATTGCTTTTTTGTCGAGGGAACCCATGCGCAGCTTACTTCCGGGTTTTAGGACGCGTCACTGCACTCTATAAGAACTGGATACAGCGTCGGTGGCGGGGTCTCGTTCTTTCCTATGAGAGCTGCTCATTGGCGCATGAGGACAAAATGGCCCAACTTTTGAGAGAGCGAAACATCTGCCATGCCTGGCTGTCAGAGTAGAAGAACCCGTATGTGCGCTCACAGAGCATGTGCCCCTTAAGCCCCGCCCCCCGAGCTCCCACTCTCGGCTCAGTAGAATGAATGGAGAGAGAAAATAAATCTAGATTTGGCTTTTAGTGCATTTTACAACTTTAAGGACCTAATGATTCTGATAAGGGCTATAAAATAGTTCATACTGGGTAGTTTAAAAAAAATTATCTGCTGATTTACAGACGTTTCTTTCCCCATGTTATTCAATGGGGAAAAGTATTCCTGGGCCGAGTGACGTCACGGACTGATATGGAAATTGTAGTATGGCCACTAGGAATTTGTTCCTCAGAGTCCGGCGCACTTCCGGATATATCCAGTCTCTGATAGTGTTTTGTTATTATGAGAGTGCTCTCATACTTGTTTGAATCTGAAATTGTATATATTTATTAGGGCTGTCAAGTTAACGCGTTAATAACGCGTTAACGCAAAAAAAGAATTAACGCCACTAATTATTTTAACGCGATTAACGCATGTGTATTTTTTGTCCTCGGCCGCCCCGTAGTTTCAGAGCGCATCGAGTTTAAAATACCATCTACAAGCTGATGCTGACAGCCCCGCTCCTGCCGCCCCGCTTGTGGCAGACCACACTTCCACGCTCACCGGCAGGCCCGGACTGGCCATCGGGAGGACCGGGAGGGTGTGTGTATGTGTGGGGCGAGCGAGGCACACCTTACGTGTTTGTTGTTGTTAGCATCTGGTGCTAGCTAGCTGCGCTAACGGATATAAGGAGCTGTTTCAATGAAAACAGAGGAGCGACATTTCGCCGACAACTGCGCCGAGCACTTGACTTTATGCAGGTAGCCAGACAGTGGGACATTGTACGAAAAGTCAGCACACTCAGCACGGATAGTGCGTGCAACATGATTGCAGCGTCCAGGCAGCTCCCGTTCGAGCATATATGCCTTGAGCTGCACATAGCTCCAACGATCCATCACAGCACACACACACACACACACACACACACACACACACACACACACACACACACACACACACACACACACACACACACACACACACACACACACACACACACACACACACACACACACACACACACACACACCACACACACACACACACACACACACACACAAACACACACACACCACACAGCACACACACACACACATCACCACACCACACACAGACACGACACACACACACACACACACTACCACCGTCACAGCAGCACACACACGACACACATCGACACACCATCACACACACAACACACACACACACACACACACCACCACACACACAACACACACACACACACACACACACACACAGTATTATTGTATGAGAGGTTCCAGTTTGAATTGAGGTGAATATTTGTAATGTTCAGAGGTTGTTGTGTTTAATATTCATGAGAATATTTGTCATTATTCAAATGATAATAAACAAACATATAAAGCATATTTGTCCACTCATGTTGATAAGAGTATTAAAAACTTGAAACATATCCCTCTAAGGTACATTTAGAACAGATAAAAAATGTGCGATTAATTTGCGATTCATCGTGATTAACTATGGACAATCATGCGATTAATCGCGATTAAATATTTTAATCGACTGACAGCCCTAATATTTATATAAATATATATATATGTGTGTGTGTGTCCGCATCTGTAGCCTGTTATTATCTCATTATACCGCACTGTGAATGAATTAAAAGTAAATATATAAATCATCATGAACACAGTTCTGCCCATCAGACAGAGTGCTGCTGTGTAGTGATGTGTCGGTCGCGCACGAGCCGATTCTTTTTGAACGGCTCTTTGGTACGAACTAGGGCTGCAACAAACGACTAATTTGATAATCGATTAATCTATCGATTAATCGACTATTCGGACTATTATGCCTTGCACAATTTCTCAAACGCTCTTATTTAGCCATCAACTTTTAGATTTAGCTTGAGGTTGTTTTAGGCATGTGGAAACTAACAATGAAGACAATAAAGATTAATACTTGATTCAAAAATAGTAATACATATATTATTAAATTAACTTAACAAATTGTGAACAAAATTAACATTGCTTTTTATTTAAATTAAATAAATAATATTTCACATCAAAAGAAACAATGTTTTAACAAATCGTATTAAATAATGTGATAACAGAATTGTGAACAGAATAGCTGAAACTTTAACAAAATAAATAACTCAGTTACCTCTAATCATTAACCCATGTTTGTATAATTTTGTTAACTCCGTGTGTTGCTGACGTGGAAAAGTTATTCGTGGATGGGGGGGCTACAGAGCTACTAGAAAGACAGTCGAACCCGGTGCATTTCTCCGGCTGAATGTGGTGCACAATTGCTCATGTTACCGCCCTTACATGCTAAACTCTTATTGCACTATTGGCAACGAGCATTGTCCACCTCAAGACGGGTAACATTTAACCACACCTTGGAGCGCTTCTCTCCGCCATCCCCGCCGTGTGTTGCATGCATGTAGTAGCCGCGTGTGTGTAAACTGCCCCGCCCCCTCGCACACAGACGGGGGAGAGATCTCGTCTGGATTGGGAAGATCGAAAATACATCATAGACACATTTTTTTGTCTTTTTGCATATTAGAAACGAGAAGGCGACACTAAGACTGCGATATAATGTTTTTGTAGCAATAATAAATATGACATATTTTTTAAATGTCTCCAGTACTGATAAAAAGACCGATAACGTTGGAGCTTAATGGCGCTTAAAACACACGTGATGACGTCACCAACGAATCAACGACTGAATTAGTTGGCAACTAATTTGGTCATCGATTTTAATCGATTAGTTGTTGCACCCCTAGTACGAACGAGGGGAACCGAGTCGTACTTGGTGAGAGCCGTTCTTGTTATCGTTCAATCGTTGGTCCGCACTCACTGCCTGCCAAAATCCACTCGCCTTTTAAAAAGCTTGATTCTGTTCCCCAAACGTATTCTGTGAAGACCCCCCCCCCCCTACTCTGATTGGTAGGTTTCAGCACGAGGAGTGAGATGGGGTGGGTCTTAACGGAATACGCGAGAGAGCCGGATAACAAGTGGTACAGGACAGGTAGACGACGTGTTTTTGGGATGGAAAATGAGCCAAACGCGAAAACGCAGCAGCATTTGGATGCACTTCAACCAAAACCCAGGCAGTGATAAAGCGCACCATTTGTAAAGGCAAAATATCCTTTAAAGCAGGGTCAACAAATAATCTCCATCACCACTTAAAAACACAGTATCTAATATTAAGAGTCGCGTGAATTTCATTCAAGACAAGGCAACTTTATTTACTTAACACATGCATACAGAGGGTAAATTCAAAGTAATACATTCACTGACATGAATGACATGGATATGGCGCCACCTTGTGTCATGTTTACAATGCAGATTATTGACATTAGGTCTGGCAACAGTCAATCATTATCCTGGTGATTATTTTGCAGATAAACCTAGTAACCCCGCCCACTTTAAAAAAACGGCTCTTTTGAACGGCTCTTTGAAAGGAACGGAGCCATAAGATCCGGCTCCCTTCAGAGAGCCATAATTCCCATTGTCACTGTCACTACCCTATCGGTCCACCTGCCCGATCTGTACTGCGCATGTGCGAGATGGTCCGCCACTACATACGGCAACTCTACTAGGACACTTGACACAGTGGCTTTTAGCAAAGCAGAAAAAGAACCAAGAGAGATGAGTTATTGTTATTACAACGTGACTTCACTATTATTTAACAACTCTTTTTATTGGGTTCTTTTATGTGGGGTTAAATACATTGTCAGAATAAGTGAGACATGGATTTAACTTCTGTTAGACAGCTATATGCCATACATTTTTGCATACATTCACAGTAAATATTTATTCAGTATGATAGCTTTGATACACATAGCTTTGTGTGCTTTGCCAAATGCCACTGTGTCAAGTGTCCTAGTTGGGTTGCCGTACGGAGTTGTGCAATATGGCGGACCATCTCGCACATGCGCACTGCAGATAGGGCAGGGTGGCAGATCGGGTAGTGACACCAAGCCCCCAGGAAGTGCGCCGGACTCAGATGAAAATATTCGTGGTGGACAAACGGCGGTACTACACTTCCTTTTGGTTGCCAGGCCCGGAAACACTTTTCCCATTGACTTACATGGGGAAAGAGTGGTCTGTAAATCGTTGGATAATTTTTTTTTAAACTAAATAAACTACCCAGTATGAACACTTGTATAGCCCTTATTAAAAACATTCGTTCCTCAAGTTGTAAAAATGTGCTAATAACGTTATTCTGTGAGTTATTTCCCTCTGCATTATGAACGCGCATCTAACCCACGGGACCGCGCCGCCCGGCACGTTCATGTTACGTGTTCAGCACTACATGCGTTTTTC